GGCTTTATAAGTGACAACTAGCGCCTTGAAGCGTATCCGAAGACCAATGGGCAGCCAGTGCAGCTCGCGGAGGATAGGTGTTACGTCGGTGAACCGAGGTGCACCCACAATCGCTCACGCAGCTGCATTCTGGACAAGCTGAAGTCTCCGAATGCTCTTCCAGGGCTGCCCCATGTAGAGCATGACTTCTGAGTACTTCCTTTATTGTTATTCACCTACAAATAGAAATCTTGCCGGACTAAAGCAATTCTCTGCAATAGTTATAGATGTACTCTGCGAATTGCTAGAAAGGTGCGGTGGCCTAGAGGTGGAGCGCTCACCTCACAATCAGGAGCCTGTGAGTTCAATCCTTGGTAGAGGCAGACATTTCTCTCTCTGGGCCCAATGAGAATATATATAGCTGTTGAACAAAACTCCACATTGGCGACAAGGTAGGGCATCCGGCCAGTAAACACTCTGCTATCTCCATTCAGTTGCCCAGACTCCTCCCCGCAAGGGATTGTGGGGTTGTTAAAAGGAGATGATGATACCCTGTGAATTGCTAGGGAGGGTCTGACTTTGCTTCTTCCTGCCCACCAGAGAGATTCCGAGCTCTCCTGTCTCTTTGCCTTCAGGGAAATAACCCCCCCTCCTGCAACTCTGGACTTGCAGCCCCCCCCCCTGCCTTTTTTTAAAAGTTGCCCTCCCAATAGAGAATGAGGGCAAGGGAATTTTCAAGATTTGCCCTTTGGAAGAAGTCAGTTAAAGAGCAGTGGCACAGATGTCCTTTCCCCCCCTGTGTGGAATGAATGGAAACCTGCCGTTTGCATCCCACCACGAATGACCTTTTCTCATTTTCTTTCCAGCTGCAGGAAGTGAAGCTGATGAGACAGCCTTGAAATCTCCCCCATCCACTATCTTGAAAAATTACGTAATTGTTGGCTCCTCCCAACACTCAGGACAAGCTGTTCCCTTCCAGTCCTCAGGACCGAAAGTCTCCGATCCCCACCTCAGAGGGCAGCATACGACGCCGGCTGGATCGCCTCACCTGGCTGCTGTCCACCTACCATTACCTCCTAGTCGAGTCATCGAGGAACTTCACAGAGCCTTGGCCACGAAACATCGGCAGGATAGGTAAACACTTGCAATACTCTAGTATAGATCTATTTCTAGCTATTTAGCTCTCATCAGCTAGCCATACCCTTGCTGGGATTCGAACTTGGGCTGTTTTTACCTATTAGGCAGTTATATTAACCTCTAAGCCACAAGCTTATCAGCTGAGCCAGGGGAATGATTAAGTGTCAAAGCACCTGGTATGCACATACGTGTGTGTGTGTTCCAGCATAACTCTGGAACGCCTCAAGCAATTTCAACCAAACTTGATACACAGATGGCTTACTCTCTGGAAACAAATACTATGGGGGGCAAGACACCCCTTACACCCCTCGGGGTGTGTGTTCTGTTAAGATACAGCCTGTTCTGCCATAAAATGGCTTCTACTGTACAGGGCAGTGGAGTTGCCATGGTAACAGCTTCACAGTATTCCACAAGGGGGCTCCTTCTGGTAAGGGGGAAAANTAAGTAAATAAATAAGTAAATAAATAAGTAAACAAATAAGTAAACAAATAAGTAAATAAATAAGTAAATAAATAAGTAAATAAATAAATACAAAATTATTCATGTACCCCAGTGGTGGGTCCCGGATCCTGGTCCTGGGGCCTGGTGTCCACCACATGAATGCACACAGTGTGCACGCACACACCTTCAGCATGCCCATGCGCCCTTACCTCCTGCAATGCTCGGCGATGCCTCTGCGACACTTCAGCTGCTCAGTGGAGCATCACACAGGCACCGTACATTCCGTGCACATGCGGGGAAGCGCCAAAGAACTCAAATACAGGTAAGGAGGGCAGGAACGATACCCGGTGCTCCCGGCAGGCTCCGCTATGCACATATTGGGGCGTACCGCCTGTAACCCACCACTAATATACCCACATATATGACATAGAGGAACAACACAGTCTAGTTTGGATGTATACATGACGAGAAAAACGAATCTTGTGAGTTTACCAGATGGATGGCATAGGGAACAAAGCTGTTACAGAATCTTGTAATCCTGCTAGAAATATTTTCAAACCTTTTCCCAGAGAGAAGCAACAGAAACAGACCATGGTGTGTGTGTGTGAGAGAGGGTATTTAACAATGCTTTGAGCACTAAGCACTTAGCACTTATAAGCAGTATCCTGAATAATGGGAAGAGAGCTTCCTATAATCTTCTTGACTGTCCTCACCACTCTCTGTATGGACTTTCTATCTGAGGCACTGCTACCACCCAACCAAACAGTGATGCAGTTTGTTAAAACGCTCTCGGTCATGCCTCTGTAAAAAGTGGCCAGGACAGAAAGATGTGGACATGGATAGATGGAGGAAGCCAAATTTGTTTAATGATCACATGATTCACTTAACAATTGTAGCGACCCAGTTAACAAACCATGGCAAAAAGGTTATAAAATCAGGTGTAACTGAACATCTGCCTTGTTTAACAGTGGAACTCCTGATCCCACTTCCTAAGTCAAGGACTAACTGTAGCTCCTTTGTGATTAACCCTAGTTCTTTCTATACAGACCCATTGGCAGAAAATATTTCTGGCATCCGCATGTTATATTTATTAATCGCAAGATAACTTTGCTATTTTAGGGCTCGTCTCCTTGACATGTTCCCATTGTCTTTCATTGCACCCTCCAGGTACGTTGCCAAGAAAATGCAAGAAAGAGCTTCTGGCAGTGAAGCTGCGGAATAGGCCAACCAAACAGGAGTTGGAAGATAGGAACATTTTCCCAAGAAGGACTGACGAAGAGAGGCAGGAGATCCGGCAACAAATAGAAATGAAGTTATCCAAGTAAGTCTAGTTACAATAAGACAAGAGGCGGGAAGTGGGGTTGGCGAGAGAATACATCTACTGCTTTTTTGTGTGATAAACTTTCTCGGCAATTCAGATATTTGGGGCTCCAAAAAGAGAGGGGCAAAACTGGTCCTCATTTGACAGGAGTCTTCAGACTTGTTTTAAGACTTTACGACTTGTGGACTTCAACTCTCAGACTTCTCCAGCCAATACGTCTAGAGTCCACGAGTCTTAAAATTGCCAAATTTGGAGACCTTTGTTTTAGAACAAAGAGGTTACTAAATTTTCCACAAATAAAACTGCATACCAATGGTTTCTCAGTTTTATTACCCTCAGTTGTTATACTGTTGTTCAGTAGACTTGTGAAGAATGGACAGAATTGAACTGTAGAAAAAATAAAAATGTAATGTTTTGGGTTGTTGGATTTTCAATTACTGGAAATATGTGGAAGGGTTGACCGTGTGAACTGGTAAATGTGGTTCCTGGCTGTTGTAGACATAACCTGCCTATCCTTGGGGTTGACCAGTATCTAGTGGAAAGTTCTGACTGGATGGTGGGAGGATGGATTCTGATAGTTGAGAGTGGACCATGTTTGAGACAACTACCATATTTTTCAGACTATAAGACGCACCAGAGTATAAGACGCACAATGATTTTGAAAAGGTAATTTTTAAAAAAAAATAGTTTTTGTACTCTATAGGCCTCCCAAACCCTCTGGATGCCTCATTTTTTTTGCAAAAAAA